TCCAAAACTTAACGTAATTTTATCTACTCAACTGAGTGTGTTGTAAGGGCTCCAGCTAAAGATACGTGTATAATTCGAAATAAAAAACATGTAGATTAACTTTCTATTTATTAATCCATGTTGGATCACCTGTGATATAATATTCCTGATAGTACTGGTAATAGTAACCGTTTTTTTAAAGGAAATATGCTACATTCACTTATCGAGCGGCCAGTACTATTGCTGGTTGAAGTTTGTAAAATCTTTCTTATGAAATGGACAAAGTCTGAAAATTATTTTAAGACGTTTTTATGTTTATACATTCTTTTTATAGATACACATATTTAAGTAAGTGCTCTGTTTATAATAAACAGTATTAAACAATATTTATCGGCCTAAATTTCCGAGAAATTTTCACAGAAAATATTCGTCCGACAGGATTCGAACCTGTATCCTATATTTAGCTTGACGTGCCTTTACCATTTCATAATATGTGACGTCATTTGTTTACATTTGATACGCCATGAGCAGATATGAATGTACAGGAGAGATTCATGGAAGATTGAAGTTTAAATACAGTAAATTCGACTTCACTCACCGAACTCTCATTCGTGGCCAAATCGATAAAAGCACGTCAACGCTAGATGAAGGTTCCGTATAGGATACAGGTTCGAATCCTGTCAGAGGACGAATATTTTCTGTGAAAATTTCTCGGATATTCAGGCCGGTAAATGTTGTTTAATACTGTTTATTATAAATAGAGCATTTACTTAAATATTTGTATCTATAAAAAGAATGTATAAACATAAAAATGTCTTTAAAATCTTTCTTGTAAAACGATCTTTCAAGACAATAGGTTTATCAAATTCAGTAGCTTTTATCGTTCTTTCTCGTATTGTTTGGGGTTTCCTTCCGAACTCATTATTTTTTACATGTGGTATTCATTTTAGATTTTGCTCCTGTTGAAAGTATCTTAGGGATCTGGTTTCTATTATTAGTTCCTTGTGATTGTATAGCGCCATTCCACATAACTCGGTGGAGTGTAGTATTCAACATGACGCATTGACTTCACTCGCTGAAACCATTGATCTCAGAAAGCGGTTGTATATAGCTGTCAGTTTCGATATTTCTGAGCGATTTTCATACCATGCATGACATCCATATGAATACTTTAATCTAATGAGGCTATTTAAGAACATGAACCCACAATTTCCAGGTTAATCTTTTGGTTTTAGCTTAATTTTGCAGACGTTTACTAGAAGACTTTTTTTCCAATTTGCTAAACACATCTCAAGATAAATTTTAATATGTAGAAATGTACAGTCACATGTAAAAGTATTAAAAACACATTTAAAAAATATTTTGTAAGATAAACAATTTTTAATGCGGCTACAATCTTAAAATTAAGCTGAACATAGGAAATAGAACATTATATTAGATCCCTCAAAAAGCCAATTCCTTATTAGAAAAATTAAAAACTATATTTTACTTGCACAAAAAAAAATCATTTATTGGCCAGGTACATAGGCGACATTGTTTTTAACCTGTCTCCAATCGTTCTAAAATATTGTTGATGCCGTTTTCGTAGAAACTTCGGGTTTTTTTTGTGGGAAGCATGCTGTGATGTATTTTTCGCTTGGAGTCAATATATTTATCATTGGAATTGTTCTGTGGAGACTGGGAAAAATGGCAATCGGAAGGAAGCAAAAATCAGGAGAATAGGGAGGGTGCAGGAATGTTTTTGTATTTCAACGGTTTAATCTTCTGCAAGGTCGGTTTTTCAACCTGCAATCTTGCGTTGTCATGGCGGGAAATCACACATTTTAGATTTGCCAAAATCAGCCATTTATCTTGAACCCAAGGCACATCAAAAGGCGAAAGGCGGTTGAGATATCGATTTTCAAAATCTTAGTAATTTATTCTGTCAAAATCCCCGGTGTATTCTCCATGTCGGCAATCAGGGCATTTTCATGGACGTGGGAAGGTCATCCTGAGCGAGGTTGATCGGTGATTTTAAAAACACTCTGACAAAATCTATCAAAATACATTTTGACCGTACGAAGAGCTGGAGAACAATCCAAATAATCCTTCTAATGGTTTTTTTTTCACATTTAAGACACTTTCTCCTTTTTGAAATACAGAGCATAATATGGTAAGAGTGCCACTTTTCATCCTCCATGTTTAAGGCATTCATTTGTTGACAGAAAGTTAACATTCAAACTCTGAGACGCAACGGTACGGCACACCAGAATTCGGCAACAAAACAAACACCAGAGTCAAGTTGCGGTCATTTTTATTAACAATGAAAATCGGTCACGAACTTAAGCAATGATGCGATATATCTAATCAGAAATAAGGATTTGTTTTTTGATATGTATGCTTAAATAGATAGAGAACATCACTGGAAAGTACGAAAACGTGAACAATCAGCACATATGCTAGGTCATAAAAATCTCCTGAGCCGGCCCAGCATAGAAATGAATACAATATAGGAACCAGTAATAAGAAGTGCTATAGAAAAGCAATGAATCCCTGCCCCAAATTAAAAAAAATAAATAAATAAAAAAAAACAAAAAAAACAACAAATGCAATATAAGCTCTGGTAAAAATAACAGGAAAAAAATTGAGCACTGTTAGAAAACAATAGCTGAGGCATTAAGTTTTTAAGTTGAAAAAAATTCATACGCAGATGTTCACAAGAACACATTGCCCAGTGAATATAGGTGTTGGTTAGAGCCAGTAACTAGACCCAAAGAGACGTGAGTTCAATACCTGGCTATAGGTATTGAACTCTCCAAGTTTTAGTGAACCAAAACTTGGACATTTGAGTTAAAGGGAAATAACTGAGGCATTCGGAAACGGCAAGGCACTTGGAACCAGAACAATCTACCCTCATGGAAAAAAATAAAGGGTTCGATTCCAACTTTCAATCACCTGAAGAAAGCTAGTGCGTACAACAACCGAAACGTTGTAAATATGGCAACGAGGATAACAGTCCGAATAATGTAAGTAATAATTATACCTCATTTCAGAGACATAGACAGAAATGTAACTCAAGATACACAGTAAAAGTATACTATACACATAAATGCATTTAACATTTAATACTGTACCCTTTATTTCATAAGAGCAATGCAAAATTGCAATTTTTGAAAACCTTACTCATTATTACTTCATTTTTTTCATTCGTTACTTGTTCTTAATTTTTGATACTGCTGCTTAATACTGAAGATCGATATACTATGAACGTTAATTAGGAATCAGCACTGATCTAACAGAAATAATAAATTATTCAATAAACTTAAATCTGCATCTTTTATACTTCAGAATCCGTCAACACGTGGCAGCACTTTATCTATCAGGCCATCTAGGCTTTGCTAGTAGACGTCGCTCCAATCGAGCAGGAAGAATATTGTTTGGAAGAAAAAGAAATGGAAATTTAATGAAAGAAAAATTCCTTATAATTTACAAAGAAATGCAAAGACTATACTTAAATTGAAGTGGAAAATCAATATAAGAAAATAGATTTTTAACCTCTTCTAGCGAAGTATAGAGAGCATGTCAGTTAGACATTTTTATGTTTAACGTAAACAATTTAAAAAAGGCGAATCGTGTTCGTTGGTCTAAATTATCGTTATTATTTGACAGAGATGAAAGCAAAGTAACAGAGGCAGAGAAATAGAAAGGAAATATTTTTAATAGATAAGATCGAAGCGATGGATGTCAGAGGAGGAGAGAAGTAGTGAATAAGGAATAGCAAAGAGGCAAAGGGGATAGAGAAGGAGGTACAATTATAGAAAAGTTGTTACGTAGGAGGATAGAGAACGAAGCAAATTTAGTCTAGATATAAGCGAGAAGAATAAGAGGCTAAATAATGAGATAATTTTGGTAGAACGGAAACGAAGATAACTGATGGAGTGAGAAGATTAAAAAGGAATGAAAAGATGTTTTATAGAGAAATGAATATAGCTAGGGAAATAGAAAATTGTTTGTTATTTTGTGGGAAAAAGAAGAAAGATATGCTAGAAAAGTGATGAGAGTAAGGAGGAAAGAAAAGTGAATATTTTTGGTAAAGCAGAGCCCAAGTAAGCCTTCCAAATGTATGAAGACAGAAAAAAATCACTAGAAACAAGGAAGACATTACTAAACTGCAAAGTGATATCTCTCCTCCTGTATGGCAGTGAGTGCTGGACGATCTCCTCAAAGATGAAGAGGAGACTTGAAGCAAGAGAAATGTAGTTTTACAGAAAGATGCTGAGGATACAGTATGAAACGACAACGTTTCGGAGAAAATGAAAACAAAAAACACTTAATACTTAACATCGTGAAGAGGAAGTTGAGGTTTCTAGGTGTTATGGCCCGGTTACTTGTACCACCGTGATAGTCCAAGGTAGAACCAATAAAGAAGAACTCGAACACAGGTATGGAATAACACAGATATATTACAAACAGGAATATATACAGAGAAGAAGAAGTGTTAGTATGAACAATCAGGTTTAGTAGAGAGAACAATGAAGTCTCGACTAGTATCATTATTCTAGTGTCTTGCAGTAATTGTCTGAACGCAACTCTGTTTCGGACTGCCTATGACTCAACTCTTGACTCGACTTGAACTCCTTGCCTACTCCTGAGGTGCAGTATTTATTAAGTATGGAATAGTCCATTATTATTTTTATGAGTATGACCCCATAACACTAGGGCATATAATGAGGAAGGAGGGTTTGGAAAATCTGATACTCACGGGACAGATTGAAGGAAAGTCGGACAAAGGAAATCAACGCATAACATTTAGTGAGCTTGATTAAATGCGTGACGGAACAGGATTGAGGAGACAACAGAAAGATAAAATTTATTAAGAGCTACAATGTAAAGGAAATTGTGAAGAGCTATGATCGCCTACGTCCTGAGGGAACAAGGCATATTAAGAAGAGAGAAGGTAGGTGTGTAAGATAGACAGGAAAGATACATTTTTGTATAGATGAGAGGAGAGTTTAAGAAATTAATAAAGGGAAACATTTTTGTTAGAGGAGAGGAAAAAGCGGGAAGTAAAGTGGATAGGAAAGAAACGTTTTTGGTCGTGACAAGAGGAGAGTAAGAGACATTGACGAGGTGCTTTTGATAGAGAGGAAAATGGTTGTAATAAGAGGAGAGTAAGAGACATTGAGGTGTTTTTGATAGAGAGGTAATGGTTGTAATAAGAGGAGAGTAAGAGACATTGACGAGGTGTTCTTGATAGAAAGGAAAATGGTTGTAATAAGAGGAGAGTAAGAGACATTCACGAGGTGTTTTTGATAGAGAGGAAAAGAGTAATGTTGATAGAAAATGACATTATTAGTAAAGAAGGAAGAACATAGAGAAATGAGGAGTATGGAAAAGGACGTATAGTTTGGAAAGAGAAGAACGTAGAAGGAAAGTAAGGAAGATATAACAGTTGATAATGTTTGAGAGGAGAGTAAGGTCTTTAGAAAAGGAGCTAGAAATAGATTAAAATTACAAATAATGTGTATTCCTGCCGTGTATCAAAGGCATTTTTTTATTTCTAAAATTCAGACCGTCAAATGCTGATTTTAAAGTCAAGAATTCATTCCTTATTTGGAAGATTAATAATTTACCGATTACTGCAACGTTTGGCAAACATTTAAGAATCCGTAAAGACAGATTCTTGTAGTCGCGTATTTATATTAACTTGAGTTCCACGTGTCACACTAGATATTTCACGCATTTTACGAGCTCATTTCCCTTGGGAATTAACATTCAGTAAAATACGGACATAGGTACAATTAAATTTTCGCCGTCGGTATGACGATAGCATATATCCGTCAGCAAGAGCCCTGATCGCGTGAAACGACCTCTTAATTACTGTTGTTCCCAGGTCCACCCTGACTCGTCGTGGTACTACCTGTTAGCGTCAAATATCTGAGTAAATAGAGACACCACAAACTGGGGCTAAAACATGAAAATAAAATATTTTTTTATAATAAAAATATTAGCAATAACATTTCCTTACCAGCAATAAAATTCTAATAGAAAAAAATAGCAGTAATAAAGATTTTTACAGAAAAAAAAATTACCAAAGCTCCCAAGAAAATTAGATTTCGGCATTAAATGGCCCATAAGGAGTTGATATGCCGTTAAACAAACCAAACGAAACAATTTAACTTACCGGGATATAAAGTGAAATCGGCGTGCTGAGTTCAATTTTTGTTTGGTTCGGTTTCGTTTATTTTGTGCTAATAGCCTTGAATAAAGACATGACTCCAACTTTTTTCCAGGTATGACTCTTTTGCCTTGAGTGTCTACCTGTCTCGGGGAAAGAAAACGGAATTCCAAACCAGCCAGACAATGTGATGGGCTCCGTCAAGCGATTTTATCATATTCGCACCATTCGTTATGGCGGCAGTAATTTTCGTGCACCCACTATCCTAATAAATGAGGTGATGACGTTATAATTCTTTCAAGAATTTATTTCGCACTGTAAGTGTACCAAATTATTGGATAGAAACTTGTACCTGAATATATATGCAGATAAGACACTAAAATGCATAAAAAATATATGAACAAAACTAAATATATAAATATATAGGTAAGTAAACAAGTAGATGGTTAGACGTGGGAAATTGTTAGACAGCCTGAGCGTCGTTTCCAATAGATATGATTGATTGTTTATTTAATGGCATATCAAATTCTTATGGGTCATTTAATGTCGAAATTTAATTTTATTGGGGGCTTTGAAGTAATAAAGTTATTATGCTTTCACAATTAAGTACATGGTAGATAATACACTGCTTTTGTACAAATATATGTTTGTGTGGATATAAATACTATATGAGCGTTTTATGTAGTTTTGTTGAAGTTACATTTTGGAATAGAGTTTGATTTAAAGAATCGTAGGATATAAGGATGAATGCCATTGAAAGTGTTCTTTCAAGTTGGGAAATCTACTATAAATAGGTATTGTTGATGATTTTTTTATATAAAAGTGTATTACTGGTATTTTTACTACTAAATGTGTTTTATAATTCCATAGTATTTTTGGAAGGAGTTCCTTATTTGCCTATAGTTGGGACTTTAACAGGTGCTACTATCCCGGGTCAGGGTGGATCTGGGAACAACAGTAATTGAAAGGTATTTTCACGCTCATCAAAACTTTCAATCTCCCGATCAGGGGCCTTGCTGACGGATGTACTTTATCGTCATACCTATGACAATCAAACAGATATATGTAGATGAAGGTACATAGATTTATTGTTTGCAATATTGTTTTCCTATTTTTTTTAAATATCGTCGATGTATAAAAGTTTCACGTAAATTGCGAAATATTTCAAACCTCGATTATTTGAACGAAAAAAAAAAACATAATCAGAGTTTTTAGTTGAATCTCGAGACGAAAGTTGCAAATTCAAGTTTTAATCGGCCGTCTCATCTCATTTGATGATTGGAAATCTTTTTTCTAATCAAATAAACTATTATCTTAGGAAACAGACAATTATGAATTAAACACACCCATATAGCCGTACCTACACACCGGTGAATAACTCCAACATGCATGGTCACAAACTCATTCACACTGACACAAAGTGATGGGCTGAATCATAGACACGCTCACACGCATGTGTATAAAGATAGAAACGCTAGTTAGTATATTCACGGGTTGGCACTAATAACCTTAGAGATTCAGCGTAGATGACGCAGATTTCTCCTTCCTTGTGACCCTCTTCTCTTCATCAAGTCTTCTGATTGTTTTCCATTTTATTTGAATACTCTTCAGTTCGAACTATGTTTGTTAATATATAAAATATAGATATGAACAAATGGGCACGTGGTCGAGAGGTTAGAATGTTCGCATTCTGACAATGAGAATCGGGTTCGAATTTCATCATAATCCACCATAGTCCAATAACATCATGAAGTCTCCTTTTGATTAGAACGTGCCTGAAAACCATAACACTTGCTGACCCAAGCCTAGTGAGTGAAATTGGGGCAGAAATTTATCGTGGCCGAGGGCTTGAGCGTGCTGGCCTTGTTATCACCATAGATAACACGTTCTTACCCAGCGTAGTTGCAATATAAACCACAAGTGGTCTCTGTCGGTGTTAAATAAACACAAATATGCCTGAGCAAGCGTCTGCGATAGGAATTGGCTAGTCGCCTTAGCAGGTATCCTCGAATACGAGTGACCAGCTATATTACTACTACTCATAGTATGGACAGCAGAACGAGAACAATATACCCGCCTCCCGGTTCAGTTTTATACTTTCATAGTATTTTTTGGAGGGAGTTCTCTATTTGTCTATATTTGAGATAGTTGTTACCGGGTGGATCAGTTCCAACTTCCTTGAAGGTTACCCGAATCGAAAGACGCCTGGAGAAGGCTGAATGGCACAACTGCCAAAATGCCTTAGTAATATGACTACCAACAAAGAAAAAAAAAGAATTAGCCGGATTAAATGTAAATGATAACTATTCTTTACAGACATATAGTTAAAACTTATAAATGAGAAGTATTTAATGTCTTTTTTTGCCAAACATTCGCAGAAAAAAATATGGTACATTTTTATCGATCACAATGGAAGTATTTGACGTATTGAATCCATTGTCAAATTCAAAACAAATTACTAATCCGATAAAAACAACATTGGTATTTATGACAACGTTAAAGCAGTAATGATAATAGCTTCTTAATTCATTAAAATAAAAATATAATTAAGTTATTATGGTTTTATTAATTTATTATTTATGAAATGTATTATTATTTATTAAACTATTATTTCTTAAAGTAAATTATTAAATTACTAATCTGGTAAAAACATCTATGTTTATAACAACGTTAGACCAGATAGGTTAGATTTCTTAATTCTTAGTTTCATTAAAAAATATATATATATTTAAATTACTAAATTATTAGGGTTTTGTTATACTATTATTTTTATTGAACTATCATTATTTATTAAACTTTTATAATTTATTTATCTGTTAAATATATTAGTGTTTATTAAACTAAATTACTAATTCGATAAAAAAAAAAAACAACATTGATATTTATGACAACGTTAAATCAGTTATGTTAGGAAGGAATTCCTAGTTACATTAAAATAAAAACATATTTAAAAATTAAAAAGAATATTTATAAATATATATATCAAAGGGTAATTAGTATGACGGTAAATGACACGGTTGGGACATACTTGTAATTGTGTTTTATGAATCTATTTATTTTATATAATATGATTCTCACTGTATAAGGGGCACTCGAAAGGGGAAACTGATGAGTAAAATCTGTCAAGTAGGCAACGATAACAAATGCAAATAAATGTAAACATTTTCGTAAACAATTTGTATCACAGGAACACCACATGTACGGTATATGAAGAAAACATTAGACCCGTTGTTAAACGATAGAATAAGGGAAAAACTTATACAGTGTTCCCGAATTGATTGATTTTTTTTTTTACCACTTATCTACCTTTTACAGGTTATTTAAGGCCAGACATTTTTTAAGATTATGAGAATGTTTTGAAGATTACTTAAATCACAGCTGGAGAGGGAGAAGAGGTGAATTCATACCTTTTCCGAAGATTATTTGTGCGTAAGTGAATATAATGAACCTGACTGGAATTGGAACTCGGGGAGACGTATTCCAATTCGGACCCATTATTAATTATACCACCCGCACATACAAGCTTGTAGCACCTATTATTTCCAAGCGGCCGTTCATCTATGTATTCACCAGGTTTGAAATCTCAGAAATTGTATAAAAATGTAAGACCAACAATCTGTAACTAATATCAGCCAACAGGAGAAAGGGAAAAATGTTTTCTCCGTGAAGTTAATCAAATTTGTAACAACTTAAAATTGAAGAAGTAAATCCCAAATCGCATAGAGCAAAGCAAACACTGTTCATTGTGAAATGTATTGTCCCATAAATGAATGAATATCCGAAGCTGATAAATGTAATTAATTTGTTATATTTGTAAGTTATTTCCCTTTGGTCCAGTGGATAAAGACATTAGTTAGATCCAGTGATTAGACCCAAATAGATGTGAGTTCAATACCACGCTACAGTAGAGGGAAACCAAAAAAACTTGGAGTTGAGTTAAAGTGAAATAACTGAAACAACCAGAAGAGGCATGGCACGGGGAACTAGAAAAATCTACCCCAGTGGACGAAATAAAGGGCTCGGTTCGATATTCCAATCACCTGAAGAAGGTCGAAGCGTACAACGGCCGAAACGTTGTGAATATGGACAGGAAAATGAGAATCCAGTCCGAATAATATAAATCATGTAAATAATCATAATACCACATTTCAGAGAACATTAAACCAATAATGTCAGTAATTACTTCTTAAACATTAGCCTAGTTAAAAAAAATATATATTAAAAAAGTTATCTCTAAAAGTAATTAACGCATAACTCGAGTATAGGCAAGTTTTTTTTTATGGATTTATACACAGGTATCATTTTTAAGAGGTCAGAAAACATGCATCTTCGGTGACGGGTTGGACTATACTCGGCTAAATCTTTTCGGAACGGGTTAAAATTCATGCCCAAAAGTTCAGGAATTGCGCTATTCATGAAGTCGACTTATAGCCGAGTATATACGGCATGTAAAAATGGTATATAGTATGACAGTGACTCTGACATACGGTTAGGACAGATATTTTTAATTTTATTTTATGAAAGTATTTACTTTATATAATGTACCTCACACTGTATAAGGACGCACATGAAAGTTAAAATTGACGAGAAAAATCTACTAAGTAGACAAAGATTTGTTAGTAATAAAATGCAAATAAATGTAAACATTTACGTAACCAATTTGGGTCACTGGAGCACCCCGTATACTTCAGCCACATCGAATTTTTATTACATATTATATACTATTTACAAATTATTGTTCTCATTTTTATTGTCTAAAACTCCAGTGTTCTTCCTTGTCCATTATTCCACAGGGGCTTATAACTACGCGTTTCCCTGCGCACATGATCAGCTATGCTAGATTTCATTGCTTCTCCACTCATGTCGATTTGTTTCTCAGATGAAACTCTTCCCCTCTCTTCTGTTGCCTGATATCAATTACAAATTGTTGGTTTTAAACATTTTATACGATTCGCAAGCATATTATAAATTTTCCCTACTCTACCGTTTACCAACGGGTCTGACAAATAATTTGCTTTGGCAGTGAGTATTCATCAAATACGCAGTTGTGTACTTTGCGATAGTTTAACAGTGTAGAAGATTTTTTTGTGTGAATGATTTGGTAATATAAGACATCAAATATTTCAATGTTCTCCCAGCCTTACATTTAGATGGCTGGATGTTTCACCATTATATTCATTGTCATGCACCTGATGAAGGCTGGACAGCAAAACGAACGAAAGTCGTGGGAAAAAAAAGAGGAGTACCATTGTTCGCACATAAATTATGTAAATAATAACAATAACTGTTCATCCCAGAAATTCAGACGGAAATGCAATTTTGTTTAGGGCAAGGAAGTTTGAAGAAGCATGTCGCCGTTTAGCCTGGTTTTATAGTCGGCATTTTCCTTTTGATTTACTGCCTCTCAAGGCATAACAGCCCACTCTGCTCTGCTATTTAACCATTAACTGGCAGACGATAAATTCACACATTTTTCAAATATCCGTGCTAAATGAATGAAAAAAATATTTACACTATATTAATCGGACTGTTGTCCTCGTCTTTATTGGATATTTACGACATTTCGGTGGTTGTACGCTCCGGCATTCTTCAGGTGATATACGTTGGAATTTCGATTCGAATGCTTTATTTAGTTCACTGTGGTGGATTATTCTCGTTCCACGTAACATGCCTCAGTTTCAGTTGTTTCCCTTTAGTAACTAAAATCTCAAATTTTTTTATTCAACTCTGCTGTCACATCTTTTAGTGTCAAGCCACTGGATTACTTCAACCAAATAAATGGTCGGAATGCAAATTCAAAGTTTATCACCTGAAGAAGGCCGGAGCATACAAAGGCCGAAACGTTAAGAATATGACACTATGACAAGGGCCACAGTCCGAACAATGCGAATAGTGTAAATAGTTGCAATGCATTATCTCAGAAATACAGACAGATGAATGAAAAAGAGTTGGAAAGAATCTGAACTCAGCACAATAAATTGTTACGCAAATCACATGTTCATGCCATAACAGAATGTATTGATTTCTAAAGTATGTGTTTGTTGAAGACTTAAGTATTTTTCTCTATACGAATGTGTGGGGAAACCCAGACTTTACTGAATAATAATCTTCTTCGAGACAAAATTGTTATTGTTGAAGAACTGTCTAGATTTGTACAGATATTTATAAGATATTTATTAGTCTAGCCCAAGGCTAAACGTGTAGATGACCTAGAGAATATCGAACTAGCTAGGGTAGTGATTATTTTTTTTTAGATTAGCTTATAAAACATGACCGGTCGCCCTGTGTAAACACACTTATGTACAAGCATATTAGTGATTGTTGTCACTTCCTAAATTTAGCTCAATTTTTTGCACGAGGTCACAAACACTGCAGACATAGATGAACACGTCAGAAAACAAAACACACTCAGGCGTTTATCTTCTATTTTTATTTGTCCGGTCCCTTTAAGTAATTGGGGCTCACGGCTCTCCCCAATTTTGTTTTTTGTTGTTGTTAGTAACTATTGTCACTTTTACCACTCATCTTGGTCTCTGTTCGGCCATCCATCCATTCTCACAATCATGGTTGTTAGGCTAGTCGCTATTTCTCTCTGCTTGTCTTGTCTAAGGTATATCCTGTGAGTGTTAAATTCTCTACGGCCTATTTCCTCATTATGTGTACCAGTGAGTGACATTCTGGTTATAAGTATAAATTTCCCTGCTGTTCATATTTTGCTTAAATCTTCCTCGTTGCCTACATTTTCTGTGCATGGTATTCTCAGCATTTGCCGGGAGAAACGCATTTCATACGTTTCAAGGCTATATGAAGTGATTACCTAGTATTCATTCCCCTATAGGAGGTTAGATATTACATATCAGTATAGTATTCTTTTTTTTCTAAGAATAAATATCCTTAGAAACAAAGGAAAAAAGCTATCCATTAATATTTTAATAGAAAGGTTAGCCTATTACCTTGTTTCTGATATTCCCCATCTTTTGAACAGGATTATAGGTTTGTCTCTTGTTTACTATTGGGTTTCTAGTTATTTTTTCTTTTTCACTTTCACTCCCGATAAACGATTGAATCTTAGAGGCATTATCGTCTTATTCAGAGGTGAAAGGATTAAAAATAAAATGACGTCTTTCGCTATTGCTGTCTATGGTGCGCCATGTCATATTTTTCATAGTCTGTTACAACACACCCAAGAGACTTAAAACTTATAACTCTGTGATTTGGACGCTTACTGTCGTGAGTCCTTACCTATAACTACAGAATGAACTCTTCCTAACACTATGTATACTACGCCTGTCAAAAGAGAGGGACGAAAACCCACGTAAAACTCGGCCTTATGCCACATCTTTCCCTCGTGGTGGGGGGGCAAGTAAATATCGAATCGAGTCTAGCCGTTTCGGCTTGACTGTCGAACTCTCTGCCTCTGATCAGAGATGAACCCGGACGAGGCTCCGCCGAAGGGCAGAGTCTCGTTCCAGGAAGTTGACCAAACAGATTCTGTTTTTACAGTTTCTACGGGCATTTTTTGGCCGAGCATACGGGCTAGGAAAAACCCACATAAAACTCAGCCTTGTGCCACATCTTACCCTCGTTGGAGGGGGGGGCAAGTAAATATCGAATCGTGTCGAGTCGCTAGTAGTTCAATCCAAACCAGACTTACAGTCATACTAACACACCTTGTATTATTATTTCGTGTAATATACCTTCGTTATTTCTACTCTTGTGTTCGTGTTGTTCTTCCTTGGTCCTAACTTGGACCATAACACTTTTACATTGTTAAAGTTTACATTGTTAGATTATTTTTGTTGAGCCGAAAAACGAACACTGTAAATTTTCACTTTATTTCATAACCTATTTTTATTGTGCACTTGTCTTTTTGTTTACCATTTTATTTTATTCTTATTTCCCGAATACTAAATTTGCTCGTCAATTACCTACACTTATATCATGTGCACCCACAACCTTCCTTGTCTCATCATACACCCACCTGCACAGATAGAAATTTTCGAACACTTATTTGCCGGCCAAGATACGCAAGAAAATTCGTGGCTTGCATTCAGAGGACTTTTCAAAATTATAACAATTCGTATTTCAAATAATGTGATTGCAACATTATGATACACACAAGTAAATCAATCCCTCTTGTCTTCATGCATCCAAAATCATTCAGGTGGTAATGCCACAAAGATGCAAGGGTTTATAGGGAATGAAATAGAAAGAGGAAAAATGAGAATGGGGAGGATTGAGGAAAGGACAAAAAAGGAACAGGATTCAAGGAGACGGCGATTGACATTGCATTTATATTTTTCAAGAAAGAAATCGGAAGGAATTCTACAGGTGGGTAGTGCGAGAAAAGAAGCAGTTAGAGTAGAAGTGGTGATTTCATCATTTAACAGAAAATCGGTGGGACCTGTTTGCCGAACTTGTAGCATGCTTAAATTCATGTAGTCAGGGCACCAAGGAAAAAAACTCATACGGACAGATGCCATGAAAATATTTGTAGAAGAGGGAAACTACGTTAGGTCTGTGTAGCAATGACTGAAGTCGAGATGCATTGTTAGGATCGATTATATTACAGTTCATTCTTTTGTGATTTTGTCATGATTCTCGAGATATACAACAAGAGCAGAGGACCAGATATGAGAACATCATTCAAATGCCCGAAAGAATGCTAAATTTATAAATGTGCAAGATGGATTCTGTCGTCACGCGGGGAACCATCTTTCCTTGTAGGAGATGAAGCAATTGATTTGATATAGACGTTAGTGTATAATGGAAATTTCCAGCCAGATACGCAAGAAAATTCCTGGCTTGCATTTAGAGGACCTTCAAAACTATAACAATTCTTATTTCAAATAATATGATTGCAACATTATGATACACACAAGTAAATCAATATCCCTTTCAGGTTTTTCTCTTACATGATTTGAGCAGGTTTGCTGTTACACCCGGTATATATATATATATATATATATATATATATATAGAGAGTATATCAAACAAAAGTCTATAGAAACATATGCTTGCAAATGTTTCGTTCTTAAGTTTAAAGTTGACAGTAACGCAGGTAAATGTACAATCCATGATACAATCTTCAAATAGACATTACCATAGTTTGTGGTGGCACTGATCATGTTTCAGCAATGCATATGATAAATAGCACTAAAGAATGGATGACTCGGATGTCTTCGGTCTCAAAATGCAACCTGATACAGACGTGCAGCTTCGTGTCCATTACCATTCGCACGGTCGTATGTAAAAATCACCTCTGCCTGTTCACGATATACGTAACCTGCCATTGATAAATGGAACACTACCCAGTTGACTCACTACAGCATACGGTAAACGTGACAGACTATCCACAAATGTACACGAATGATTTATTAAAAAATACGTTCTTAAGTAGGCGCCCGAGGGGTTCGTCAGTGATGTTATTTGACTTGGTTCATTAGGGAGTTTCGGGCCTTTCAACATCATACTCCCCGTCACCAAATCGACCCAATCAGGGGAGATCAATCTCTGATGCCTCCATCTCAGTATTTAATGTAAGAAATATACAATTTTTGCATATGGCCTAAAAGGGGAGGGCTTGAGGCTGGTCCACTCTAACTATCCTATACCTAGCTAATCCGATTCATGACCCATTCACTCATTACAATTTCCACATTCACCATAAAAGTTCATCCGTCACCATTCAATCATCCATACACCACGATACCGCATTCTCTCAAGGGGGGCCTAGAAAACGCACCCCATGCCATAAAAATTTAATGAGGATAAATATTATACATAAAAATCTAATAATGAAGAATGAGAGGGGAGGGAGATGAACCCAATAATAACCTAAAATTCAACACAAAATAAACTAGACATAATCGATGTTAGTAGGGGCCGTCCAACCCTCAAAACGGAGAGGCCGCTGTATTCTGCCAATGGGACAAAATCAAGAATCTCTCTTGCTAAGGGAGTGGTAAAAGGATAATTATACAGACATGGGAAATAAAAAGCTGACTTAGTTGAGATAAAAGGGGGCCAAAACAAACTGGGGCGGTTGGGAATCTCAAGCTGAATCATAACCAAAGAAGTGGTCGAGAAACAGGCTGGGAACAACACTTACTCACATTAACTAGGTACACAAAAGCTTGTCTAGCCTAACCAGGGGAGGGCTTCAGAGGAAGCCGCCCCTATGTGACATAGGTAGACCTAAAAGAGAAAATCAAGGCTAGCCCTGTTAACACGAGCCAAGCTCGCCTCAGTCACCACCTTTCGCTAAAGACTGTCGAATGCAATCGTTTTCTATCGGTTCTAATCTTTATCTTGAGCTGATGCTCAAAGAATCGGATCAGCTCCTGATGAGAAAGACGGTTGCCTCGCAAGACTTCGTCCTGTCGTGTCGTCCAAATCACCATTCGGGCCGTGGCCAGCAGCGTCAGAAACACCATTCGTTTCACCCCAGAATACGGGACGACACATTGTCACACGCGTATGCGCGATCAATAGGCACGAGCTTTTCGGGAGCGAGAAGAGCCGTCAAATCGGCCGAGATGTTCGTATAAGGGGCGGACCCGGGGACAATGGTAGAAGGCTGGCGAAGCCGTTTCTTCTAACCCAAGGCCACACCGTTCACAATCATGCAAATCCGCCAAGCCCCATATTAAGTCCTTGTCATTGAGAGGCAGCCGATCACGAGCCAATCGACAGCTAAGCGAAAACTCAGAGTTACTGAGATAATCCGACGCTGGCGCCCAAGACCAGAAAGAGCGAAACTCCTCCGAGCTGCTCACATAGGGAATCCTTCGCGACTCCCTCCACTAGATGAGCGATAGAAGACTTTCCTAGGCTGAGAAAGGTCACTGGACCGAGGAACAGCCAACAAGGCCGACCGACACTCGCGAACGAAATCCGATTGATCCCGGGGTTTATGGTGTCGCTCAACCTGCGAGATGGGGGGATTGATAGTAAGGAAAGGGAAAGCGTCCCTAAAAATCCTCGCCATAATCGAATCTCCTGTCAAAGCGCGGTGTAGGAAATTCAACCTCGAGGCGAGTTTGTAGGTCGCCAAATGTGTCATTCCCAGCCCCCTATGAAACGGACGTAGTGCACAGACTCGTCTGTTGACACGATTCCCACGTCTCCTCCAAAGGGCCCCGGAAGATCGACCCCCTTGTATCCTTTTCGTACTGATCAAGCGCCTTCAGTACTGCCTTAATATCGCTGCAGGACGACATGAAAGAAGATACATCATCAGCGTACGCGGAAACTTTGGCTCGTAATTCATCGTAAGGCCGGACTGCACGCCCTGTCACTTAGCCGCCGAAGGAGAGGCTCCAACGCCAAAGCATAGAGTAGGGGCGACTGTGGAAAACCCTTACGAACCGATCTAGACAGCGCAAAAGCGCCCGACAACTTCCCGTTCACCTGTACCACAGCACTGGCGGAGCGATACAGGAGGCTAATCCAGCGGCGGAAGTCGGGTTCGAATTCGGTGGCCTGCAGGACAGCTGCATGGTAGCGATGGTCAACCCTATCAATTGCCTTGGACTGAACTAAATTGATCAGCGCGGCCTCATCGTCGTCTTTCACACCCTCTATGATCGTGCGGATCAGATACAGGTTGCTTTGAATTGTTCGGCCCCTCACAGAACAAGTCTGTTCAGGACCCAACAGAGACTCGGCAACTGACTTCAAACACTCCTGCAGGATCTTGGCCAAAAGCTTTAATTCTGTGTTTAACAGAGTTATGGACCTATAATCATCTAAATCCCGCCCAACACCCTTGCCTTTTTTCAACAGCGTGATCACAACCCTGGAAATCCGGTTAGAGATGGAGCTCGAGCGGAACCAGTTGTTGAACACCACAGTAAAAATCCTGACAAAGATATGCGACAGTCTCAAGTACAATTCATAGGACAAACCATCCAGACCGGGCGACTTGCCTCTGCCGACCTTCTTCAATGCCGCATAGACTTCGCCCACGGTGATCTCTCTCTCGCAGTTAGCCCCTTCCTCCGGCCAAAGCCGAGGAAAGTCAGTCAAATTGCTGAGAAACTCCTCCTCACGGAGACCAGGCTCATTGGTAAACCGGCTCTCAAAATGCCGCCGAAACGCCTCGCACATATTGTCAGTGGCCCGAAGAGTATTCCACTCCGGGGAATTGACCTCACGAATATAAGGATAGAAACCTTGACGAATCTCTTCCTTGCGCAGATCTGCGCCCATGTTCCCAGCTTCGGGAGACATATTGTTTAACCTATGTCTAATTACCTGGCCCATGTAGCGCTCGCTACTCAACAGCTCCAGCGTCTCCCTAGCTAAGGTTATCTCTAGGGGATCCCCTCCCCCAACTCCGCCCGGTAAAAACTAGCCTTAAGCGTCTTCACCTTTTCAGCTCTATCTAGGGCGAGCCGTTTGCGGAAATCAGTGGTGAAGGACCTAATCCTATCCTTAAGTCTCTCCCACCACTTATTCCCGATAACCGCCCTGGCTTTTTTTTTTTGTGGATAGCAGTTTCAATGGATAACCGAGGAGGTAACCTTTATGTTCCTAAATTTAACCCTTTTCCCTAAGTATTGTGTAGCGTCTTACACTAAATACTTGCTGTTTTTATTTTATTGTGCTTTGTTCTTTTAGAGGACGGGTTACTTAAGCTCAACCCTACTATCACTTATTTTTCGTTTAGCCAGATTTTTAACATTATTACAGGTCAGCTAACTTTAAATGGATGTATTCGCAAAATGAAAATAATTGTCCATAAACATCGCGTATATTTTTTTGATGTATACACAAAAAATAATATATAAAATAAATTAAAATAAATAAAAAAATAATAGAAACACATAAAGCACCATAATTTTCCTTAATATTGATTTAAAACTATTTAAAAATTTGAAGGCAGTTAAATACAATAAACTACGAAATACTCTAGAAATTAAATTAAACTACGAAAGAAGTGCGATCTGCTATACAATACATTCTTATGTCCTTTGAAATAAAATATTAAGTAATAACGAAGCTTCATATTATATGTATATATATATGTATAGCCTAAAACCGATG